CAAAAACAGTCTGTTACTTAAACTGAAAATAAACTCTATTCATGACCATATAAGTGTCAACATTAACATTATATGCATCAGGATACTAGTAATGAATGTGGCATTGCTATTTTGTAAAGTACTATAGTATGGAACTCTTGTGTCTTGTAATTGAAACTCCACCTACATAAATTAATAATTCATAACCATAAGTTCTGCTGACTATAATGAAAGTCCCTATACTAAAAGGATGATTTACAGCTCAAATAACACATTTGTGTATGGCAGAGTTAAAGTGCTTTAACCTTCCTGGATGGCTTAACCCATAGACCTTTTATTACATGTGTATTATTATAAACAATTTTTTACAAGCTGAGGGATGAGTCAGAATTACTGATGGTGGTATCTGACAGTATGTTGGAGATGATGTCCATAGAGCTTAACTTTTTTTGAACCCAGATCTTTCCTCTAAAAACAAACGGTTGGGTAATCTAGTCGTGCATATCAAATTGTAACATTTCTAAGCGTTTCTTTAGCTTTCGACATTGCGTTCGGTTGAATGCTCTTCTCTCTCACAAAGCTCCATTTAAACTTACTGAATGCTACATAGTGAATAGGATTTTCTTGCAAAATGACCTCTAGAGACTCCAAGAGCAGGATTATTTGAGAGAAGCTAAAATATTAGATATGCCTAGAGCGAACATATAAGACATGCTCAGCTGACCAGTGAAAGAAATGAGTTTTAGAGGTGAGAGAAAAAGAGAAAGACAGAGCGAGAGAAAGAGAGAGGGTTCACTGACCTCTTCCTGCTTTGGACCGTGTGCGAGTGCGCTTGTCATCAGTATCCAAACTCATCTGTCAGTAAAAATGGAGAGAGTCAAAACTAGAGACAGACAGACAGACAGACAGACAGACAGATAAATGGATAGATAGATAGATAGATAGATAGATAGACAGACAAGACAAAACAAGACAAGACAAGACAGAAAGAACAAAAGACAGACAGACAGAACAACAGACAGATGGATAAACAAAGAAAAAATGACAGACAGACAGACAGACAGATAGATAGATAGATAGATAGATAGATAGATCTAAATAAAAACAACCTTTAAATCACAGAACATTTTCAGTGTTTTCTCCCTCCTAACCCTTCTGTACCCCTCATCAGCTTATAATTTAGGCCCTGAACAATCAATCTGATTGGATGGACACAGAGAGAGACAACAGAGCATGGCGTCTGCCAGAAGAGCCCATTTGCGTTCATGGCCCCATGGCAAGCTCGAGTGGTAATTACAATAGCAATATTAACCACAGTGACAGAAATAATACAAACACAGGCACTCCAAATCACTGTAATTCCTCCCGCACAGAGTCCCCGATTGCAACACTCGCTGCGCTTTCTGGCACAAAAGGAGCAGGTGTCAATCCCTCTCAATCTCGCTCACACACACACACAGACGCAGGGAAGTCTGCTCACTGTAAAGCCATTGGATCTTTTCTGGCGGCACAATGGCGCCATTAGCTTTGATTACTTTACTGCGATTTAAATGGAACGGAATCCTTGAAAATCCACGAAACTCTCTCCTTTTGACCCTCCGCGAGCGCTGCTCACCCCGCTCCCAGCTGCCGCCTTTAATACAGCGCTGGAGCTGGCAAGGGCACACTGCACTTTCACAGAGGAGTTTCTCTTTCACACGCTCCCTTTCTCTTTCTTTTTTATTCCTGCGCACTCTCTCTGGCAGTGCCACTTCCTGTTGATTGCCGACTTTTCAGCACGGGCGGATAATGAGTGTGTTGTGTTCGATTTGAGGGAGTTTGCGTACAGGGTGATGAAAGTTGGCTGTGTGTGTGTGTGTGTGTGTGTATGTATCCGGGCAGACAGGTGCAGAGAGAGTCTCTCTTCCTCTCCCAGGGGCGTTTTGATCGCAAGCACACGTGCTCTCCGGCAACAAGCCGGCTTTATGCACGCCGATACTCGCTTCTCACACTCTGAGCTCGACTTGCTGGCCTGAGAGGAAAGTTTTCTCACATTGATGATCAAATAGACCCGGGAGATGTGGACGCAAACACTGAGCATTGTGTTGTGTGTGGTTTGCCCATCTGCGAGTCTTCTATGCCCTCTCTGTATCTCCGAAACAAGCTTTGTGACCACTCTGACCCCCAGCACAAAAGCCAGGGGCAGATGCGTGTCGTTTTATTCTTTTCCCACTGTAGCTTCCTCTGGTCTTCCACTGCTGTCTCCTTAGTGTCAACACATGAATCAAACAGGGCCCGTGTGGCTTTCATGTTTGTGTAACCATAGCTACGCATCTCTTTCGAACAGGTGAACGCTTCAGAGTTTGCATTGCTTTTTTATTTTGAATTCCGCCTCATTAAATCTGAATGAAGCGGAGGTGTTTGCGACGGGCAAGACGGTGTCATCTTTCTTTCGTAATATCGTTCAAAGGCCTTTTAATGTTTTCAAACCTGTTCTTCCCAGCGTTTTTAATTACGACTGTTGGCGGAGAAATGAGTGAGTGATTTTGAGAACTGGTGACGTCTGAAAAATTGGCAGAAAAACGGTAAGATAAAGCCAACATTTTTTTTCTCTCCTTTTGCCCCTCCGCGATCGCTGCTCCCCCCGCTCCCAGCTGCCGCCTTTAATACAGCGCTGGAGCTGGCAAGGGCACACTGCACTTTCACAGAGGAGTTTCTCTTTCACACGCTCCCTTTCTCTTTCTTTTTTATTCCTGCGCACTCTCTCTGGCAGTGCCACTTCCTGTTGATTGCCGACTTTTCAGCACGGGCGGATAATGAGTGTGTTGTGTTCGATTTGAGGGAGTTTGCGTACAGGGTGATGAAAGTTGGCTGTGTGTGTGTGTGTGTGTGTGTATGTATCCGGGCAGACAGGTGCAGAGAGAGTCTCTCTTCCTCTCCCAGGGGCGTTTTGATCGCAAGCACACGCGCTCTCGAGCAACAAGCCGGCTTTATGCGCGCAGATACTCGCTTCTCACACTCTGAGCTCGACTTGCTGGCCTGAGAGGAAAGTTTTCTCACATTGATGATCAAATAGACCCGGGAGATGTGGACGCAAACACTGAGCATTGTGTTGTGTGTGGTTTGCCCATCTGCGAGTCTTCTATGCCCTCTCTGTATCTCCGAAACAAGCTTTGTGACCGCTCTGACCCCGAGCACAAAAGCCAGGGGCAGATGCATGTCGTTTTATTCTTTTCCCACTGTAGCTTCCTCTGGTCTTTCACTGCCGTCTCCTTAGTGTCAACACATGAATCAAACAGGCCGTAAGGGAGCCCGCGCGGCTTTCATGTTTGTGTAACCATAGCTACGCATCTCTTTCGAATAGGTGAGCGCTTCAGAGTTTGCATTCCTTTTTTTATTTTGAATTCCACCTCATTAAATCTGCATGGAGTGAAGGTGTTTGTGACAAGCAAGACAGTGTCAACTTTCTTTCGTAATATCGTTCAAAGGCCTTTTAATGTTTTCAAACCTGTTCTTCCCAGCGTTTTTAATTACGACTGTTGGCGGAGAAATGAGTGAGTGATTTTGAGAACTGGAAAAGGAGCACGGGGACGTTGAAATGAACGGGAAAAAAATTGTCATAAAAATGCAAACGCTAAGATAAAGCCCAAATTTTTTTTTACCACTTAAGAGTGCGAGAATGTCCACGCATCCCTTCGGGCCGTGTGCTACATTATTAATTGTGTCTCTCTCTTCTCCATACAAGCGGACGGAGACACTCCTTCATGCTCTTCTGACAGCTTTATGTAAATTGCTGGCTGGGGGCAATGACTTCACAAAGAAGGTCACCCCTCCTCCTCTGGTGCGCATAAATGAGGCTTTTATTCATTTTCACATTTACAAGAAAAGGACGCAACTGGGCCTGGCATGGCAACCATCACTGGAGTGACAGGACTACTGACATGTCCAAAATTACCTGCGGAAAGCATTGGCCAATTAAAGGAGGCCGATATGGTCGCCAAGGAGATCTGAGCCATCCATCAGGGAAGCGGAGTTAACGCTCACTCTCGCAGCCTGACTGACAACTGAGAGAGGTTTTTGTTTGTGCGTGTGTATAAACGCTCATGTGTTTTCTTGTAAGAGCGTGTGGGAGCTGATTCCTTTGCACACAGTTGGATGATGCTGATCAGTCAGAGTTTGGTATTATCTAATTGGATGCTCTTAAAAGAGCTGCCTGCAACTGCAACCCTTTAAACATTTCAAATTAGATCGATAAATCAATCGCTTCAGATGAACTCTTTCCATCAGAGTGAAAAAAAAATACATTTATGGGCCCACGGGAGAGAGCGAAGACTCTCTCTCTCTCTCTCTCTCTCTCTCTTTCACTCACTCTTGTTTTTTTCTCTCCCCATCCCAGCGCCCCCATTAGAAATCTCTTCCAATTAATTTCCCAATGCAGAAGTGAAAGAGATAGATGGCTGAAAATATGGGCTGTTCCAAATAAAAAGCGTGAAGAAGAAAGAGTGAAAGAGAAGGAAAAGGGATGCATCCACTTAAAGTCAAAAACACACACCTAAGCAGAAAGAGGAAAGGGGGGAGGCGGTAGGATGGGAGAGAGAGAGACTTTCTTTTATGTTGATGAAAGATAGCAAACAAAAGCAGCTCAAGGACATCCCTGCTTTCAAACCTCTCCAGTTTTCCTAAATAATGCAAGAAAGCTCTAAAAATGAAATTAGGCTGAGCCGAACAGCCCAATTCTTCATAATTACGGGACGCGGGACACTTTAAAATCTCGGCTCATTCAGAGGGGGGTTAGGCTGCTCTGCCAAAACCCATTCTAGGTCAAGCTGGCATGAACTGCGTACATTGCGGTAATACAACGCTGACTTCCTTTCATAAGTGTGCTGACAGACAGAACTGATCAATGTCATAAATGTATAACCCTCTTTCGCCTCTAATTGTGCCAACTTGGCAGGAAGCCCAAGTTTCTGCGTGATGATTGGCTGGGAGGGGCCGTGCGACTCACTTTGATTGGTCGGCTCTGCAGTCTGAGAGAGGGCCGGCAGCGGCTGATCTTGTCTCCTCGCGTCCAGCGCTGGTTCAGGAGTTTCCCCCGGTACTCATTTTCTGTTTGAGAGAGAGAAAGAGAGAGAGAAGGCAATAAGTGAAAATGAAAAAATGAAAATGAAGGGAAAAGACAGTCATGTCAGCATCTGCGCTGGCAGTTAGAAGAGTTTTGCGGAGCGAGGGTAAAGGAGTGTTTGGTTCAGATGCTGTAACGGACTGATTCAGCAGTGAAACGGCCAGATCATCTCATCACCTGTCCACCTGCATCTGAAACCAGCAGCCTCAGCACAGGAAACACAACCCCTTCCATCTCAACAGCAAGACACACACTCACAAGTGCACAATTGTACAAACACACACCTATATAGAAGCATCCATGATAAAGAAAAGGAAGAATCTTAAAAAAAAATCTTATTTAAAACAAGTGTAATAGATATGTACTGTTTGTATCTATGTATCTATGCTTGTATTAACATTTGACTTCACACACACACACACACACACACACAAACAAACATAATCTATAGTCATATATATATATATACATATATATATATATATATATATACATTCTTTTAATAAAGCTTTTTACTTTTAATGAATGTATTGCCCTAATATTTCTGCTTTCAAAAAAATTTAATTCAGAAATTAAGAACATGATCATGCTCAAAATTGTATTCAAGTATAAATGTTTTTTTTTAATAGAATGCTGTGTAAATTGATACACAAATTACAAAAAAAAAAACCTTGAGCACCTTGTCACTAACCCACATAAAGACTGGTAGAAAAAAATAAAAAGTGACATTTATCTGTGGGTGTAAATGCATTAACTAATATAATATGTTGACAGCACATATACAGCACATTTATGTGTTGACTGAAAGGTGCATAATGTCATATGTGTGAAGTGACAGTTTGACAGGTCATGATGGGGGCTGGGCCTTTTACACAAGTGATCTATGCACTTCTAATTAAAGAGAGGCGAGAACTCAAAAAAACTCACACTCGCACATACGCGCATGCATATGCATGCTAAAACACCCCAGCTGGAAGCTCTGTCAGTCTGCTATTAGAATCAATCACATTTGTGCATATTTATTGAGCTTTTAGCAGGCAGGAGTGTAAGAGAGGGGAGGGGTCACAAAGACAGACCCGTGTTGGGAGAGGGAATTTGGTCAGTAAATAATGAATCAACCATAAATCAGATTTTTTCCCCTCCTACTTTCTTTTTTTTTTTCATCAGGGTAATAGTCCACCTCTCCATAAACCCGTTCCCCACCCCCCCTGGCATACACATGATAGACATGCGTGATAGAATGATAAAAGAGTGTCAATAAAATCTGATGCAAAAATATCCCCTCAAGCGCTAACATGCTTGTGCCATAAAACACAGGGCGTATTAAAATAATCATTACATTCATCAATGAGCACGGATCAGCCATTGTTTGTAAAATCTCACAGCTGAGACTCCGGTTCATAACTCACTTTTGTTTAGCCGTCAACAATACCGCAGGCAACAAACTCTCAAAAGTTGCGTTGAGAAAACCTTCTGAGGATTTTAGCGTTCAAAACGCTCAAAAACCTACGCTAACCCGTCAAGCTTTGCCTTTAAAATGATTAGAGGACACCAGAGAACTTTGTGTTGAATCACAAAGATCTTGAATCTGTCTGTCAAGCATGAAAAGCCCATGTAACAGTTTTGTAGTGTTGAGTAAAAGTGAAAGGTTGTTGAAAAAAAGTTGCATTTTTTTTTTTTATATATATGCATTGTTGCACACTTTTTATTTATGCATTTTTAAAATGTTTTTCTTTTTACTTTCAATTGCAAAACAGGGTTGGAGCTAAACTCTGCAGGACACCGACCCTCCAGGACTGAGTTTGGTTACAGTTACGCGCATAGTGAAACTTAAGAGAAGTGCAAAACAGGCCACAAGAACGATTCCTAAAAGATTAGTTCTTCACGGAACTACTTTAAAAGGAGGAAGTCAGTTATGCATAAAAATAAAAACAAACTTTAGTGAAAGAAATGTAAATGAGCGCACGTGAGGAAAGGAGAACGATTCTTACAACATTTGTTCAAAACACCGAACGAAACAGAACCACCTGAAAACTCCGAGTAAACAAAACAATGGCGCGGTTGTCGCGCAAGACTCAAACAGCACAAACATGCATTGTAAATCACCGACCAATTCAACTGCATGCAATTCAGTGTTTCAAGGCTTAAAGGCTGCTCTAAATGGCACCTTTCTTCACTAATGATTGGGGCGACCCTGACCCTCGTCCCTGGTGGTGTGCCTTTCTGCTGTGCTCTGAATGAGAAGAGCGCAATTTGGCCCAGCTGCTCCATTCCACATGTTTATCTCTCCTCTCCGGGAAAACCCGCGGCACCTGCTGTAGCGCTACATCTTTATTTTTTCACTTTTATATCTCTAGTTTTCTGTACTATGGACCGAGCGATAAACAAGCGCCTATTTCGAGCGTTTAGCGCCTTTGGGCAACCCAAATGAGCATTGACGTTGGTATATTGCAAACAACCTTGTTTGATTATGATAGGAATTAATCCGCGGATAAGATTAAACGGCGATCTGTGAAGACCCAGATTTCATGATTCGGGTGAAAAGAGCTGCATGCACCAGATGATTCGCTATAGTGTCATTTGTTTATACTGAGCACATTGTTCGGTTATATATTAACGTGGCTGACAGAAATAATTGGGAAAACTCGCAAGGATTCCCCCCACCGCACAGACAGCATCATCCCATTTTATTAAACTCTGGAGGTATATATATATATAAAATTCACTGAATTTACTCATATCAAAACACTTTGAATCTTTTGTTCCTTTCATATGCAGTCTGCAGTCTGCAGTCATACAAATCATTATCTCTATAAGAATGATTGTTTTCAGTTTTGGTATATTGTACTAAGTGGTAAGACACATCTGCCATTCTCATTTTGCCTCTTCTCCCCTCACTTCTGTCCTTTCTTTTCCTTTCATTTTCCCTCTTTACCTTTATCTCAATCTGGTGTTTTCTTCCTTTAAAGCAGGCTTCCATCTGTTTCTTACTGGGCACTAAAACTCACCTCGCACTCTCAGAGAGAGAGCCAAAGAGCAGGAGATCGAAAGAGAAAGAGTTTGCTGTCAGTAAAAGAGGAGCCTTTAAACACGCCTAGCTTCTGACTCTGTCTCTCTCGCTTCCCCCTCTAACATCTGCCCTTCTCTCTTAGCAAGCACAAAATAAACAAAGCAGGCAGATCTGATTTGCCTCCTAAAACTCTGTGCAGCAGCAATAACCCAGAAAAAGACAGGCAGGATGCCAGTCATCAGAGTTAGAAAGCTGTAGGGCATTGTCAGTAAAAGCTTTTCCAATGCCCCTTACACACACACTCCTACGCCAACACGGAACAAAACGCTTATTTATCAACTTTCAGCCCTCTTCTAAAAAGTGACTACAACAGCACTACTGTGCATCCTTCCCCCCAACGCTCTCTCACTTTTTCTCATTCTACAAATTTCAAGCTAAATAAACAGAACCGCGAAGCGCAAATGGCTCTTTAAAATCACACCATAAACCCGGGCCATATAGCCGACTCCACACTTTCCGGGCCTTCTGAAATGGCACGGCCCCCATAATCCACCCCCGTGGCTCAGGTGCCACTTATTCTAAAGCGAGAGAGAACATTAATAAAGCTAAACAGTTCATCATTTACAGATGGGTTAGAGAGACTATGATGTGAAGAGCGCAATTTGGCCCAGCTGCTCCATTCCACATGTTTATCTCTCCTCTCCGGGAAAACCCGCGGCACCTGCTGTAGCGCTACATCTTTATTTTTTCACTTTTATATCTCTAGTTTTCTGTACTATGGACCGAGCGATAAACAAGCGCCTATTTCGAGCGTTTAGCGCCTTTGGGCAACCCAAATGAGCATTGACGTTGGTATATTGCAAACAACCTTGTTTGATTATGATAGGAATTAATCCGCGGATAAGATTAAACGGCGATCTGTGAAGACCCAGATTTCATGATTCGGGTGAAAAGAGCTGCATGCACCAGATGATTCGCTATAGTGTCATTTGTTTATACTGAGCACATTGTTCGGTTATATATTAACGTGGCTGACAGAAATAATTGGGAAAACTCGCAAGGATTCCCCCCACCGCACAGACAGCATCATCCCATTTTATTAAACTCTGGAGGTTCCTGACGACTGCGCAATTCTGCGCAATTTCCGCAAACAGATAGATAGGATCTTGTGAAAGTTATTACCAAAACTAGTTTCTAGTCGAGTGAGATAAAATAAACGACTCCATGAATCAATGTTGCGCTCAGGTGACCTTCATTATACACAGTGCTGAATATTGTGAAGTGGATGTCGCTAAAATCATTATGCATCACACCCCACTCTCATTCCATTATAAACATGTTCATTCACATGGAAAACATTTTAAATAAAATCATCAAATTAAAACAATGAAAACAAATATAAAACTAAAAAAATAGTGTGATAGTCCCTCTCAAAACTAAGACATATTTAATCTATATGTAGTCTCATTATATGCAATCTTTGCAGGTTCAGTAGAAGTGATGGAAAAGTGTTACAAGCCTACAAGTTTGCTCTGCCACGTTATTTATTTAGAGTTTATCAAATTAAACAAGATAACTTGCTTATTCAGATAATACCCAATAGTTCTGTCATTTAACAAAAACAAAGTCAAATTATAAATCAGAGATTAAATTTTAGTGGTCTGGTAGCTCTTTTATATTTTTACATAGAGACTTACATCTTCTATCATCACCACAAGAGGCTCATGATGGTGATTTCACCCCTGTAGCTCATTTGTAATTGGTTAAACTGATGGTGTTACACCTCACCCTGTGTTACAACACTCCCCGCTCTTCTCTACAGCACTGATCTGATCTGGATGTGCTGGCTGTCATAGAGCCAGAAGCCTCAGACTGTGAGAAGTTAGTCACACACTCAAAGCTCACTAACTCTTCTAACTCCAGCTCACTAACTCCAGTTACTTTTCTCATAGCATGAGGATTCTGGCTCTACAACAAGCAGATAGTTTCTTGAAAATAATAATAATGCAATAATAACACAACCCACTCCACACTTTCCGGGCCTTCTGAAATGGCACGGCCCCCATAATCCACCCCCGTGGCTCAGGTGCCACTTATTCTAAAGCGAGAGAGAACATTAATAAAGCTAAACAGTTCATCATTTACAGATGGGTTAGAGAGACTATGATGTGATTGGCTTCTGTGGATGTTCACTTTAAAATATTACACTACAGGAAGAACAAGAGATTAACAAATGATCTGTAATAGTTATGCTACTGCGAGACAGTCAAAGGAGACAGAGATGAGTGTAAACAAATCAAGAAAATCATGTCATGCGGCTGAAATCCATCATGGTTATGCAGAGTTGTTTGAGACAGACATAAATCCATAGTTTAGATTAAATAGGGATGGATGCCTTCACGGTAATCCACGGGTGACACATCTGCACTCTCTGCTCCAGTTAAGCAGATTTAACTTCAACTTTGTGATTAGAGAACAAACAGAAAGCTCTTAACAAGAGCAAAGGTGAAAGTATAACGTTAGCCTGCGAGACGCACCCAAACCTAATTATTATAAAAACAATGATACCATCAAAATATATTTAATGTTCATGGTGGATTGTAGTTTTCTTTTCAGCAGATAAAAAAATCGACTTGTGCCTGAAAGTCGGCAGTGAGTAATAAAATTAGTTTCTCCTTCATGTCAAAATGAGTCAAAGTGCCTTTGAGAGCTACGGGCACTTTTTTTTCTTTATGACGCACCATGAAAAACACCATGACAACCATGAGCAGCAGAAAGAGGCCCACTCAGAGAGTGATTAAAGGAGCAATGGCAGAATTTGCCTTTGTCTGGGCTTCTTAAATAGACAGAAACAATCTCAAGGTTACGAACAAGTTAAGAGGTTAACTATCAATGTTCTTTAAAGCTTTTGCTCAGGAGTGCTTCCAGTCCTGCCTGGAAATACCTGTTCAAAAGTGCCATAGAAATAGTTATGGAGGAGTTGATTCATTCCAGGTACTGATTCTAAATTGATTCATTCAGATTTGTTCAATACCTCTGTTTGTACGTTACAGAGTTCGGCCAGTAGATGGCGACAAACGTTTTGTGTGTCTTTTGTGTTCAGTGAGTGCATCATTGAATCATTCACTCAACGGATTCTTGTTATTCTTATTATCACAAAATATCGTATTATAATGCAGTCTGCTTACAAATCAACTGAGTATTCAGAATTTTTTTTTAAACATCATACATGTGACTCACATGATGAATTAAGTGATCGGATTCAAAACACCTCTTTAAGGGGCTTGTTCCTTCAGGAGGTCCAACCAATGACTTTGCCATTTGTAACTTAATGTGCAAGACTTCCGGTGTTATTCACATAGTTATCTTACCTGTACAAACAGTCCATTATGCTGCTTTATATTGCAAATTGGTATTTGTCATATTATTTTTTAACTATTATAATCATAAACACACTGGTTTGCAGCGCAAAAAAGTTTTATCATACATTGTTATTCTTTTATTAAGCGACTTATAAATCGGAAGTCTCAAAGCAGGGGTCCCCAAACTCGGTCCTGGAGGGCCGGTTTCCTGCAGAGTTTAGTTCCAACTTGCCTCAGCATATGGAACGATATTCCGGACAATTTTCAAATAGAATAGTCATTTGTAATTGGTTAAACTGATGGTGTTACACCTCACCCTGTGTTACAACACTCCCCGCTCTTCTCTACAGCACTGATCTGATCTGGATGTGCTGGCTGTCATAGAGCCAGAAGCCTCAGACTGTGAGAAGTTAGTCACACACTCAAAGCTCACTAACTCTTCTAACTCCAGCTCACTAACTCCAGTTACTTTTCTCATAGCATGAGGATTCTGGCTCTACAACAAGCAGATAGTTTCTTGAAAATAATAATAATGCAATAATAACACAACCCAATATATGTATATGTATATGTATATATATATATATATATATATATATACACACACACACACACACACAGTAGCATAGGTTCATTGTGATTACATGATCACATTACTGACTCTCAGATGAAACACATCCACGTTCACTTCGTCCACCATCTTGGTTGCAGGTGCTTTGATATTATACTTCATACAATAGTGAATGTCTAACACATTTGCCCCGGAATACTGAGCAATATGAGACACAGACGCACTAATCACTCATTAGAAATGAACAGGGGCGGGGGATGGATGCAGAGGATGGGCGTTATTGCTTCAACTCTCATGACTTTTCTTCTGCGCATCTCACCAGGGGCGGTTGACATTTAAAGAGAGCATCTCTCCACTCTGTTTTCTGCAGCAGAAAATCAAATGGCCACCCCTCCTTCTTCTTCCACGCCATTCGTGCACTCGGCCGGGAGTCCTGCGCTACGCCCATTGTTCGACCTTAATTATACAGAGCCATATGGAAGCAACTCCGTATGTGTGCCAAAAGATGGAGATTATAAAACTACATGACAGTGAGCACTTACAGTGCGATCACTCCGAAAGGATACATTATAAACACACAAGCACATATACGCTCATAAAGCTCAAAACGCGACGAAGTGGGCTGAGAAATAACAGTTTTGACTAATGCACGCTGCGCGCATATAATCAGCATTTATGCGCGACAATAAGCAGGCAGCTGAGGAATACAGACACGGCATTCCCGATTCATCTCTAGGATCAAACGCACGCAGGATTTCTGTGGCAAAGTGAGAAAACAAATAGGCATTCGCTGCGTTTGTACAAGAGCGCCATAGCTGACTGTTTCTCCATCACTTTTTCCATGTCAACTCCACACACTCTCCGCTGGAGCTTCTTCTAGCAGGGAAGCATGGACTCACACTCACACTATCCTCTCCGACACAGACCCGCTTGTACGAACTACAAGCCAGCAAACATCTTAGTTCAAACATTATGAAAACAATCATCGATCATACAAGTGCAATGAGGATGAAATATGAAAATAAAGCGGCATCCTTCAACGTAAAAGCCATTAACCTTGATCTGTAGGGCATCTCGGAATGGGATGATCTAGATAGTCCACATCCTGTCAAATTATACAATAATATAGCGTGAAACATTTATAATATCTTCCAACAACTCAACCCTTGACTCTAAACCTAGCTGCATATCTCAAAGATCCTCCTGAGTGATTTTTTGGTCATTAACAAAAAATAACCCAAACTATTTATATGTTATAAATAAAGCCGAATGGCATGATCATGTTTACCTGAGTGAAGAAAAAATAATAATCCCGAAAGCTTCTCCGCCAGACGCTTCTCTCGTCTTCGTCGTGTATTCAGTAAGTTGTGAGACAGTTTTGGGTAAAATATCCAATTTATAGATTTTTCTAAAAGAAAACTAAACTGCTTCTTCAGTAGTATCCCGACTGATTCAGTGACAGCGGGGAAGAGGATTGGCGCTTCGCTGGTGCTGCTACGGACGAGCGAGGATCCAGAACGGGGCGGTATGTACGCTACTTGTTTGTAAGCAAAAACATGGCTTCATTTGCCTTTGTCAGCGAGAAAACGTAATATTGACTTACCTTTCCCTCATGAGCCATTGTCCCCCACCTCCTCCCTCCGCCCTTTGCCATGACATCACGAAAGCTGTAGTAAAACCTACAACATCGATGGGCTGGGCTTTGAATATCCCCCCCGCAATAACTCAGCGGGCATGTGTACAGCCATGCACACTCTATTTCATATACTCTGTCTTTCTCAGTGCACACACACACACACACACACTCACACACACGCGATCGCTCCCCTCTCCCTCTCTCTAACACCCACACCCACGCACCTACAAGGGATTTATACAAGTTCTCCTTTGTGCCAGAAACAAGATGATCAAGGTTAAGAAAAGAACCATCTTATTATCAAGGATCATGGCTATATATGGTTCTTAAGTTGTTTATATGGCTCTTTAGAGATTAAAAAGATTTTTGATATAACAATATAGATTATTAAGATCAGTATATTGTCATTTAAATTCCTTGAAACACCACAAGGTGATTTTCAAAAGAAGAATAAAAAGTTCTTAAAACGTTTTTTCTATCGCTTTATTTTTGAGAGTGACAGAAAACCGCTGTCCAAATGCTGGCGGATAAGTAATAGAGCAAATGCGTGTTTAAAACATCCTATAGTTCAGAGTGCGCGTCGGGTCGCTGTTACTTTAAATTCGAATAGCGTAAGCTGCTTATTTTACGTCCAGTGATTAATCTTTAATATTGCACAAAAGCATGCATATGTCACTGGTGTTATCTGAACCCTCCCTCCTGACTCTTTCCGAATGGTACTGTCCAGTGATTCACACAACACACTTTTCATAGGCAATGCTTCCTTGCTAAAGTTAGCATACTATATTATTATCAGATTATTGGCATTCGGGTGTATTGATTAAGAAAAAAACAAGATACAAGCCACAAACTACAAGGCATGTACACAGTTTTCCTTTTTACATGGACTTTTTTTTTTTATCGTGCAATCATTTGCATTGATATGAGCTACATCATATACAGTATATATATATATATATATATATATATATATGTATGAGTGTATAGCCTATATATATATGCCCTTTAGAATTTTGTTGCGAAAAGAGTGGAAGGCAACAAATAAAGGGATTTCAACACCGGACTGTGTTCTTCACTCAAAACAGACGAATGTAACTTGGACTGACTCCTAAATGTTGCACACACCGCTGTTGTGCTTTGTTGTTTTGTAACCATTAGTGAAAATGACAACCATTCATTACAAGCCATTTGAGAATATTCTCAACAAATGCCACTCTTTATCTGCTGTCTCCATGCTGCACACGGGGGGAATTTTCAAAAAGCCAACCTTCGCCTTTCAGAAATTCTATTAAGTTCTTATCTCTTTGCGGCAGGCTCTTTTTTTGCTGTCCCATTGTTATGCATTGGAGCTGAAATCAATCACGAAGTGTCCACGCTGCATCAATATGATCTGAGTTGCCTCACTAACAGGGACACAATCCAATAAACAAAAGACATAAGAGAAACCATACACACCTAAAAAATAAGTTTCACTCCCCTGCCATTAGTACTCAGAATGAGATTCACAGGAGCGAGAATGATGGTTTCTTCGTTATCTCATTGGAAATTTTGAGAATGAAATGTAAGAGTAAACAGAGGGAGCACAAGTACAGAATTTACGCTCGGCTGGGCTTCAGGACCCCAGACAGCGCTCTGGCCTAGTACCATGGACAGCGATTCGGAAGAAAATCACACCGGTCTGCTTCCTCTGCGAGAATTTTGTCAGCTGTGATGTGTTTCAATAGAAATGTTGAAAAGATAAACGAAATAATATGATCTGAGGTACGGTGAAATCACACGGAAAATATGATATACAGAATTTGATCAGTGTTCAAGAACTTTCAGTAGGCTCGGCTCGATATTTTAAAGGAATTCTGTAAGCAGTTTCGGGAGGAATATGGCGAGGTTCCTCTCGCGCAACCAAAAATCTCTTGGCGGCCCGAGCAGCCAAAAGTTAATTAGACCTATCTTAATTTATTTTCTAAACAAATATTTTTAATATACTAACATACAAATTTAAATAATAATAATAATAATAATAATAATAATAATAATAATAGGTATAGGTTCGATAAAAAAAGGTCCGATAGGGGATCCTGACTGAAAGCGATCAAACGGCGTATTGTTGCTATGGTTACCACAGGCCAACCCAACTTGTTTTCGTGAGGGCCTGTTTAGTGTACTCTGACTAATCTAACTTTTGTGGCAACTTAAACGGTAAAATCATATATCAAAGATGTAGCCTATGGGTACACTAAAATATTTTCATCAGTGTGCAGCATTTTTCTTTGCATTCATTTAACTTGACACAATCATTTCTGTCACTTAATTTTCAGTTTTAAGAGCTTAATTATTTTTCTTTAATAGTTAAATTTAAAGTGGTGGGAAAAGGTATATCGTTGAAGTTTGTAACATTGACAGAACTTTTTTATCTACAAATGCCAAACTTAACTTTTTAAATTAAGTAGTTTGATTTGTTTACATTATTGTAACATAAGAGTGTTTATAACAAAATCACAGATGGAAAAACAGCCTACTTCATGTAGCTTTCAATAGATGTTAGCCAGCTGAAAAAAAGGGCAACTGAAATTGTTCAGTAGCCTATCCTCAACAGTCAGAACTGTCCAATCGCGTTGCGACTCCACTGAAAACAATAGCTACACACCTATTTACCGCTGCGTCTCTCAGGAGCACGTTTAGAATTTAGTGGCTGTATAAATATTGCATAAGGGAGTCAGCTGAGAGAGCGGCCGCAGGGGCCCCAAACTCCGCGTATATGGCCTTGACAGATGGAACAAGCTGACAGACAACAACAGAAAGAAAGTCTGAATGCGCCTCTGGGCTGGCATTGTGTCCGCCACGGTCCCCCGGGAAACAAACCGCCCTTTGTCTGAACACTTCAGCAGCTCTGAAGTTTAGAAAAGGTCTAGACGAGACCCGAAAGTTCCCTAAAGTTATGATTTGTATTGATGTGCTATATATAGACCTCAATACAACAGTCTTTGAACACATGCCTAAAGCGACCGAAAAGGGCATGCTAAACTATAAAGCCTCACAATACGAAAATCTGATAGGTATTCCGTTAAACATTATACACTATTCTCAAGTCAGTTTAAAAAAATTCGAATATTACATAAATAATTGAAGGGATATATTCTGTTAACGGTTAATATAAGGCTAATACAAATAAAACAAATGCTTATACACTAAATCTCATATATGAGCAGTAACAGCAAGTTAGACAACTTTTTAGACACCTGTTAATTAAACAATGTTCGAAATAGTCAAATTAGGAGACAGCGAAGTTCGACTGACCTAAAAAAGTCCCACACAGCTTCATGGTTGCGGCTCCGAGTTTCCCATAAGCGTCTGGGAAGTCCTGAGAAAGTAAACTTGAGTGGAAAAGTTGAGGACAAAATTACTACAACTTCTCATTGAAATGAGCAAAGGAGGGGTGTCGACTGACGTCAGAATCCTGCCCAGCCAATCGGAGACCTGCGTGCGTAATCGTATCCTACCTCCGCAAAACTCTCAGCCAATCAAAACAATTGTCTTCAGTTCTCAACAACAAAGCCTGCAAAATGCCAACAGAAGGGACTACCGGCAGCTGTGTGCTTACAGCTTAGGAAGTTTCCCAACAATGCTGAGGGAGAAAATCACGCAGACGCAAACTATATCAAACTTCAGAATAGTTTTGGTGAATCTGACTAAGAATATTATTTATGTTTGTCTGTTCATATTTAACCAACTATCTATATTGTAAATTACATTTTATTCGAATGTTTACGTCTACATTTAGGCTATTAAAGTGATCACTTATTTAAATAAGCGAAATAAGCGAAATAAGTAAACGTAAAAACGTTAAAAGTTCCTTATATACGCTATTTAGGAAAGGAAAATGTGCGTCATAAACACACATGCATAGACTCACTCGCACTCCAACACACACATACCAAATGTCTCCCTCACAACATTAATAGTTTTTAAGCTTTCTCCCTTAATCATCTGTAGATGACATTTAATCTGGCATTTAACAATATAGACATTTTTAACAACTACTCAACGACCACATCTGGTTATGTTTCGTAAAAGAACAGAATATAAGAAATAAACCATGAATTCAAAAATTTAAAACAAACAGTAAGACATGTTTAATCGAGTGAACAAGCATTTGGATGTGGCTTCAGGCTTTTCTGATTGATTTCTATTAAAACCCTCTTTTTTTTGTTATATGAAAGTCACGTTAAAACGTAAAAAGTTTTTTTATCTGTATTTTTTCTTTTTACTAGTAAACCATTTGACATGTGGTGGAAATGACAGTTGGAAATGACTGACTTTAAGGGGGAAAAAGAAGAAGAAGAAGACAATTCTCCAGCATGTATACCCACTGTTAGAAAACTGTGAACAGACAAATGTAATACAAAGTGTAATTTAAGTTCACAAGACCAAAAGTGCCTACAGACACACCCACATGCATGAGCCTAAATGTTTGTAAGTAAGCCGTTTAGAAAAAGCAGTTACTGTGTGGCCCTGTTCTCTTTGAATTTCTCTGTGAGACTGAATTTCATCTTTATGGGGCATTAAGAGCAAGTAAACCTATGTGTTAGTTCACAGTCATGTTTTAAACCGCAACAAAACTGTGGGAAACAGAAAGCAGCCCGAGAGCGAGGATTATCTGTTTTTCAATGGAATTACGACTCCTCCTCTGGGGAAAAATGTATCCCTTCCCAATTCGCTCACTTGTTTCTTGCAATCTGTTACATCATTAACACAAA